TTTTTTTTTAAGATTTATTAATTTAGGTCACCTGGGTGGCTCAGTGGGTTAAGCATCTGCCTTCAGTTCGGGTCATGATCCCGGGGTCCTGGGATCGAGTCCCTCATCGCGCTCCTTGCTCAGCGGGGAGCCTGCTTCTCCCTCTGCCTGCCACTCCCCACTGCTTGTGCTCTCTCTCTCTCTTTCTGACAAATAAATTTTTTTAAAAAAATCTAATAAATAAATAAAAATATGAAGCAGATTTTACAAGTATGTGCCACTTATTACCACTCGATTTAGCAAGCATTAAAAAGAATCATCTAGGGGCCCCTGGGGGGCTCAGTCAGTTGAGCTTCTCACTCCTGGTTTCAGCTCAGGTCATGCTCTCAGTGTCCTGAGATCAGACTCTGCATCGTGTTGCGTGCTCAGTGGGGAGTCTGCATGAGACTCTCTCTCTCCCTCTCCTTCTGCCCCTCACCCTGCTCGCATGCGCTGTCTCTCTCTCACGTACACACTCTCTCTCTCTCTAAAATAAATTAATAAATCTTTATTTTTTTAAGTATTTTAAAAAATATTTTAAAAAATATTTTAAATATTTAAAATATTTTTAATATTTATTTCATTTTATCAGCTCATTTCCCCAAATATAACACCCTGACTTCACCAAGTTTTCTGAGATTCTGATCTAAAGAACTGCTATCTTTTATAGCACAAATCAGCTGAAGGAAAGAGTGGTCAATGATGTATTTTCTCTTTTATAGTTAAAACAACCGTAAAAAGAGGAGAGGAGTTCTGAGGGTAGAGACTAAAGGTGTTCCAGTCTTCTTTCTGGATTGCAGATGGAGTCTCTGCTTCTAAGTGATGCCCTTACACTTCATGAATCTTTCTCCTCAGACCTACCCCAGAACAGGACACTTTTAGGACTGTAGACTCATTTACCTTCTAAAGCTTTTGATGGCACTTGGCGGCCCCCTAGTGGCCAAATCCTCTACCTGACAAAAGTCTTTTGCTACGCTGAGTTGTTCACGTGTGAAGTGTACTCTAGTGTGTAACTTACTTTGAAATGTATTAAAAAAACAATAGGATGGGTTAATGGATGAATAGAGAGATGCATAGGCGATTAGATATGTGATGAAGCAGATACAGCAATGCTAACTGTAAATCCAGGTGATGGGCGTATGGGTCACTGTATCATTCTTTCAGCTTTTCTGTGAACATTTATATAATAAAACATTGAATAAATATCTCTCTGGTAGGCTCTGGAAAAAATGAAGGGGAAATAAAGACTTTTTCAAATGAATAGTAGCTGAGAAAATGCATTGTCAAAACATTGTACAAGAAATGTTCCAAGAAGTTCTTTAGGCAGAAGCAAAATGATACCAAGTGGAAACCTGGATCTACACAAATGAATGAAGGACACAGCAAATGGTAAATATAAATGTATTTTTTCCTCATTAAAAATATAGTTAAAAGACAATTGAGTTTTTAAAGCAGAAATAATCACATATTTGGGGTTTATAACATGTAGAAGTAAAAGGCAGGACAAAATAGCAGAGGATGGGAGGAAGAAATGCAAGCCCCTGGTGAGGTTCTTACTTTATGCTAGAGGCATATTATTTGAATGTAAACTGTGATAAATTAAAGATATATATTATACACCTTGGACAAATCCACAGTTTTGTTGGCTAGGTCAACACTCCTTTCTCAGGAATTGAGAGAACAAATGGAAAGAGAATCAGTAAGGATATAGAAGATTCAAACAACACCATCAACCAACTTTACTTAATCGACATTTGTCTAACATTCCCCGCAAGAAAAGCAGAATGCGCATCCTTTCAAGTGCACAGAGACTATTTAACAAGATAGACCATATTTGGGACCATGAAACAAGTTTCATTAGATTTTAAAAAGGTAAAATCATAAAAGTGTGTTATCTAACTGCAGTTAGAATTAAAGTCAAAGTCAAGAAGGGACAGCTGGGAAATCTCACCTATTTCAAAATTAAATGACACTCTTCTAAGTAATCCATGGGTAAATGAAGAAGTCATAAGGTAAATTAGAAAATAACTTGAACCGAATGAAAATGAATACATGTGTCAAAACGTGTGGATATAGCTAAAACAGCATTTAAAGGAAAATTCACGGTATTCAATGCTTATGTGTTATAAACCAATAAAGGTCTAAAATCTGTGATCTAAGATTTGACCTTAACAAAAAGCGAGGAAAAAAAGAGCAAGTTAAACCCAAAGTGAGCTGAAGAAAGGAAATAACAAAGATAGGAGCAAAAATCAATGAAATTGAAATCAGAAAACTAAGAGAGAAAATCAATCAAACCAAAAGTTGGTTCTTTGTAAAGATCAATAAAATGGATAAACCTGTAGCCAAACTGATTAAGAACAAAAGAGAAAACACACAAATCACCAATATTAAGAATGAAAGAGAAGATATCACTAGAGATCGTACAGACAGTAAAAGGATAATAAGGGAATATTACAAACAACTTTATGCTAATAAATTCAACAACCTAGATGAAATGAATAAGTTCTTTGAAAGTTATAAACAATCAAAGCTCATTCAAGAAGAAATTGATAGCCTGAATAGCCCTATATGCCTATTAAAGAATTAAATTTGTGGTTACATCCTTCCCATAGAAAACTCCAGGCCCAGTGGCTTTATTGGTGAATTCTGTCAAACATTTGAAGAAGATACTATACCAATTCTATACAAACTTTTCCAGAAAGTAGAACAGAAGTAGGGAAGACAGAACCCAAAAACAGACCCACACATATACAGTGGATTGATTTTCAATGAAGGCTCCAAGGTAATTCAGTGGGGAAAGGAAAATCTCTTTCTAAATATGGTCCTAGGCCAGTTGGATAATCAAGAAAGAAAAAATGAAAGCCTTGACTATTACCTCACGCCACATGCAAAACTTCACTCAAAAGGGATAGATCTAAAAGTAAGAATTAAAACCATAATACTTCGAGAAGAAAACAGGAGAAAATCCTTGTGACCTTGGGTTAGGAACTAGTATTCTTAATTTACAAATGAGGACTCAGTCATTAAACAGGATAAGGAACTTGCTGAGGTCACATTAACAAGTTAGGAAGTAGAACTAGTCCTCAAACCCTTAAATTCATACTCAGATTTGATGTACTTGACTGGCAAGGGCTTTGGGCTTTGTGTGGAAGTGAATGAAAATGCACACGACTGCTCCCTTCTTCTTCACATTCTGCTCTGGTCATAGAAGTATGCAAGCCCCCTCCCAGGGACACACGGCTTCACTTGCCCGGATGTGAGCACTACCGTCCACCACCAAACAGACATTGCTTTCTACTGTCCTGGGCCGAGTTGTTCAAACCAAGCCTGCGCTCATAATGTTCTCCTCCCCTCTGCAGGCCCACTTCCTGCTTATCCCTCAAGGATGTTACTGCCTCCTTTAAGAAGCCCTCCTTGACACACTCAGCCTGCAGGTCTCCCCTCCTCTGAGGTCCTCAGGACTTCCTTGGGGCTTTTGTTAGTCTTATCTCCCTTCCAGAAGGTGAGCACCTTGAGGACAGGTCCCATGTCTTACTTGTCTTTGTATCTTCCTGCACAGCACCTGCTCAGGGCCCGTCAGATGAATGAATATATCTTGAGAAGCCATCACAAGTTAGGGTCTTTTGTCCTTGGATCTCCTTGGAAGGTCAGGCTCCCACTCCACCCTCAGAAATGTAGACCAGGCTCTCTGCTCATCCTTGCTCTGGGAGTCCCTGTTTAGGGCCAGGCAGGCCACAGGCACTGGGTCATCCCCTCTGTGCAGACCCCCACTTGCCCCGATTGCTGACACTGCAGTCTGAGCTGAAGCCCTGCCCTCCCCCCACTGCAGGACCCTGCAGCACAAAAAGTACTTAGAATAGTTCACATGGGCCGACGTGGTCAGCCACTGCCTCGCAGTTTCTAAGAACTTCTTTCTTTGCTCCTGGCCCCAGTATGGCCTGCTGCCGTAGCAAAGCAAAGATGGAAAGAGAAAACCCAAGGAAAACAAAGCTTGTAGGTTTCCCTGGGGGCGGCGGGCAGGAGTGAACCTCGGCCTGCACAAAGTCATCTAGTCCATCCCCCTGCCTCTGGGGGCACTCTTGATCTATTTTGGGTGGACAGTTATCTCTGGCATCCAGAAAGCATTCCCTGGGTTACGTGTTTCCCATGCCTCAGAAAGGTGTTTTTGACATTCACCCTCCGTCTTGAGCTTGAGAGCTCGTGGCTGGTGGCTTGAGCTCCCCCCTTCCTGCGTGGCTTGAGCTCCCCCCTTCCTGCGTCTGACCTGCAGTTGGGCATGAGAGGAGACAGGGGAAGGCAAAAGCCTGCATCCCAGCAGAGGGAGTGAAGAGCACACAGTGTCAGGCCACCAGCTAGGCTTTGGAGTGGACGCACTGGGACAGAGTGAGGCTCAGCCTTCCTGGGGCTCCCTCTTTCCTTCTCACCCCCCAGGAACTCTGGAGTGTTTCCTGGGAGCCTGGGAGGTTCAGGGGCCTTGAGGACAGAGGAAGACAAGAGCTTCTGCGGGAGGTCACATAGAAGTCCTTCTCTGGAAAGGGAAGCATCCCATCCTGTGTGTGACACAGGGCAGTGGGGGCCATGGAGGAGGGGAGGAGGGGCCCATGGGAGCCCTGAATGAGAGCCAAATCCCCATGTGATGGTCTCTCTCGGCGCCTTCTGAGGGGCCCCCAGATCACATCCTGGAGTAGGATTTTCCCCAGCCCAGACTCTTTCTGGCCCCGGGGAGGGACAGGCAAAGGCCCTGGCTCTGTGTTCCCCACACTCTAACACCCAGGAAAGCCTCTCGCTCTGTTGCTCACAGGCTTTTTGCCAGAGGTGTGCGGGACACATGGGTGAGGAGTGAGGGAGGAGACTCTCCAACCCCTCTCCGATTTCCCGCCCTCAGAAGCCATGGCGCAGAACCCACCTGTCCTCCCCAAGGGAGCCTGGTATGAAGGCTCTGCGGTGGGAATCTTTCCTCCAACACACCAACCCCAAGTTAACTTGCAAATGACAGGTTTGTGTCAGCCTAACGTTTTAATGATGAAAAGTACAGAAAGCCCCCCTCCACACATGCCCTGGATGCCCTGGCCCTCACTCAGGTCCTCTGACCTCCTCATTCCTCCCTCGTGTGCTCACAGCAGGCCCAGCTCTTCCTGCTCTCCCTCCAGGAATCCGCTTCCGGAAAACAAGGAGTTGGCCTCCCTCTTGCAGACAGGTTCTGTCCGGATCTCCCGATCTCCCAGAAGAAGTGGAGAAGAAAGAAGCCCCCGTGGAGAGAGTGGAGGAGGTTCATGGTCATGTTCAGGGACTTGGCTTGGGGTGGAGAGGCTGAATGTCCTCCTCTCTTCTTTTTCTTCCCCAAAGGACTCCATGCCCTCCTGCTCCTCACTCCTGCCTCCCTGGGGCTCTGGGCATGACCAGTGTCCTCCATCCTTCAGGACCGGCTCTCTGGGTCAGTGTTGGTGTCAAGAGCGAAGTTTTGAGGATCTGTCATCATCCCATGGCTGTGGAGCCAGACAGGGCCATCCCGGGGTGAGGCGGGGCTAGGAGCTAGATTCTGCAAGATACGGAGCACCGGGATATTGCGGCGGGTCCTGAAGGAACAGCTGCCGAGGGGCCACCCCTGTTCCGCGTTGCGGTCAGGCCCAGGGGCTGTCCCAGCAGGGGCCATGGGTTCAAATGCAGAGACACCGCATGCTCTCTGAGCTTGGGCCAATTCCTCCCCTGGCAACCCCCCGCCCAAACACTTTTTTGGAAACAGCCTTTTCAGGATGAGGGGTGTGCACGCGCTGGGGCCCTTGGTGAGCGGCTTCCCGAGGGCCTGGGCATAGATGCCACAGAGAAAAAAGATGCTCTGGTTCAGTGCTGAAAGGGCCATTTTTGCACAAAGGTCAATTCTGAATAATTTTACAATATTTAGGGGTTACTTTGTTTTCTATTCAAAATATAAGACGTTTTAAGTACGCTTAAGGAAAAATGTTTTCTTACTAACATAGGTTATTTGCTTTGCTGAAAAGGAGACTACCAGTAAGGAAATCAGCAAGGCTTTGGGGCACTAAGTGTCTGTGTCTGGGCATATTTATGAAGGTATGACACAGAAGACAGAAGAGGCCCCTTTATCTCTCTTGAGATGTGTTGCAGGCCATCCCAGGAAGCTTAGTGGGGGGTGCATCGTCCCTTAAGCCAAGAGTTAGTCCTCAGTGATCTAGTTCAATACCGCATTTTGCAGGTAAATCAAGGCCCCAGGAGGGCGAGTGACGGCCCAGCTGAAGTCACAGAGTTCCTGTGGAGCCACGGCGGTTAGAGGACCCTGGTACCCTGACCGCCAGCCCAAGCACTCCCGAGGGCACAGGGAGGGCTCCCTGAAGGCAGGCAGGTGGCCGCCCCTCTGATTCTCCTTCCCGTCCCCCCTCTGCCAGGGCAGCACCTTTACCTGTGACAATGAGGGTGGCCGTGCTGACGGCCTGGCCCAGCGCGTTCTCCGCCACGGCCTTGTACCGGCCGCTGTCCTTGGGGGAGACGCTGGGGATGATGAGGGAGCACACGCCCAGCACATCGGTGCTGTACACCGCGGGGTTTCCCGCCAGGCTCCGGCCGTCCTTGAACCAGGTGACGTGGGGCCGCGGCCAGCCATGCACGGCACAGCTCATGCAGCACTCACAGCCCTGCGGCAGCAGGTGGGTCCGCAGGCCCACCAGGAACCGGGGCTTCTGGCTCAGGTTGGGCTCCCGGTAGCTTGGACGCCTCACTGGGAACCTGTCTGTGGCAAACACCGGGGCGAGAGAGAGAAGGGTCAGTGAGCAAGGAAGGGAGGGCCGAGGCATGAGTCGGGGTGGCAAGTTCCTGGTGGAACGTAAGCACGTTCTGGGTCCTTCCGCCACATCTTACCAGTCAATTTGGCCCTCACGGCTTGACTCACTTTTTTATCCTTCTCTTAAAGTACATTTTGGATTTTATTTTTTATTTATTCCTTTATTATAAGCTAACACCCACTCACTGTGGACAAACTAGAACATGTAAGAAAGTCAAAAGGGGAAGGAATAAAAACCAAGCATAATCTCACTGCCTATCAATGACCAGAGCTAACATTTTGGTGGGGAACCTTCCAGACATTTTTGTGTTTTAGAAATATGGAATCACGCATTCTATTTTATAATCTGCTTTTTCTAGTGATTACTTTGAAGGCCCACCATCTATTTGACTGTAAAATATGCTTGGTTTTCAGAGAAACATTAACCTCTCTTTGCCGTAGGCCTGCTGCTTATTTGAGACCCCACCCAAAGGCATCCTGGACATGCAGACACCCACAGCCCTCGGCTCTCTCCGGACCCACCCTGAGTCAGGGACACAGAGGACAGCAGTGCAAGTGGGTTGAGCCAGCTGGGGAGGTGGGGGAGGTGGGGAGGTGGGCAGGGTAATGGCTCCTGGCCTCCAGCTGGTGGTGGGGCCAGCAACACGTTGAGCCGCACTCAGCCACCTCTGCTGGGGCTGTCCCGGATGCAGCCCGCATCACCAAGAGCTCACCTCGCTGCCGGGGGATGCACCAGGGCTGGCTGGTGTCTGAGGGCAGGCTGGCCCCCAGCTCGTTCTTGGCCACCACCCGGAAGTGGTACTCGTGGCCAGGGAGCACTCCCAGGAGGGTGAAGTGGTTGGTGTGCACGTGGTCGGCCGCCTGGCGCCAGGGCCCGTGCGCTGAGGAGCGCGTCAGCACCTCGTAGTACAGGGGGACAACCCCAGCCTCATCTGGAGAAGGTTCCCACTCGGCCGTCACTGTCCCGGGCACGTTCTCCTGCAGATGGATGGGCCCGGGCGCCTTCGGGCATGCTGCACGAGAGGAAAGGCAGCTGAGTTTGGGGGGGAACCTGGCAGGGCACTCCAGAATGCCCACAGGCTTCTGCATGCCCTCCCCCAGGTCCCCAAGTCTTCTGGGGTCCTGGGGAGTGCAGTCTGTCCATGCAGGCAGCTGGAGCCCCCCGGAGAGAGCTCAGCTGGGGGTCTACAGTTATCTCTAGAGGGTGGAAAGCCTCTCCAACAAGAATCATTTGAATTCACTCTGGCTTGTAAGTAAAATGACACAGGATGTGGATAGTGGAGGGGTTTTCACAAGATCAAGTTGCAGAACCCCCATTGTTAGCTGTTGGTCATTTCTGTATTCCAGAAGCTCCTCCAGGGTGGGCAGGGGCTGTGTGGGAGTCCCAGTGGGGAGGGCAACATTTATCTTGTACGAGGACCACAGACAATCCTTCCAAGGCTCTTTCAAGTGAGGTAATGGTGGTGACTGTCTTTGCTCACTGACCGTCACAGACCGGGGAAGGGCTGTGACTTAACTGTCCCTAAGTTCCTGGGGCAGAAGGACAGTGGACCCCCACGCCCCGCCCCACCCCAGACTCTCCCTCTGCCTTTCCTCCTTTCTTTCCTCCAGCTCTTAGGAAGGGCTGGTGGGGTGGTCACCTTGTATACCCAGGCTTGGGAGAGTAGCTGAGACCCGTGACCAGGCCAGCTGGAGAGCTCCATGCCTTGGCTTGTGGCAAGCTGGTGTCGGGAGCCCCTGCCCAGGCCGGCCTCACCTGCCACCCTGAGGGAGAAGCGGTAGGCAGCCTCCCCGCCCTGCAGGTTCCTCAGCACCACAGTGTAGAGGCCACTGTCTGAGAAGCTGGCCACAGGAATCAGAAGCTGGGTGAGGCCATCCTTGGTGGAGGTCACATTACTTTTAAGCAAGGGCAAGCCGTCCTTCAGCCAGGTCACCTCAGGCATGGGGACAGCCTGGGAAATGAGAGGAAAGAAAGATAAGGAGGGATGTTTTGTGGGAGTGATGGCATTGAAGCTGGTCCTAAGGTGTAAGTGGGAAGAAGAGCATTCCCAGAGAAGAAATGTCTGAGCAAAAGCACAGAGTGGGGAGGTGCCTACTTAGGGAGAGGCTGGTTGAGAGGGGGTGATCCAGGGAGGTATGGGAGGGGGTGTGGGATAACGAGGAAGCAGGAAAGGGGGAGTAAGGCAAACCCCCAGCTCCCCGTGAGATCCTCTGGCACTGGTCACACTGGGCATCAGAGTCAAATGGGGATGCTGACCGTAACTTGCCTCACGGGATTGTTCTGAGGACTGAAGGAGTTAATAATACATGGAAAGCATAGCGAACAGGGCAGAGGAACACTCAGTGTGTGTTAAAAATTTTTGTCACCATCACTGTCCTTATTATGGTCTAATAATTAATTACATGTAATTTCGAGTTATATCTGGATTTGAATCAGGCTCGGCCACCTATGAGTTCCCAAACAGATGATGATGAGGATGAGGATTTTAACCATAATAACAACAACAATTAGTAATAGATACCACAAACTGGGTGCTTGCCATATGCCAGCACCACTTATGTGCTTTCAATGTATTAATTCCTTGAATCCTCAGAAGAATCCCTGGAGATAAGTTACTATCGTCCCCATTTGACAGATGAGGAAGCTGGAACACAGAGAGGTTAAAATATTTGTCGGAGGTCCAACAGCTAGCGAGTAATGATGCTAGAATCTGACCCCACGCAAACTGTGCTTCCAGCCCCCACACTGTACGGCTATCCTATCTATACAGGACAGCTGGTGTTGGTGGGGGATCATCCTGAGTCAAACGCAGTTCATGTGCTTGTACAAAACTCAGACTCAGACTCGGGTCATTCTAAAGTCAAAAGGGACTATCCATGCTGCAGCCGCACTGCATTCCCAGACGAAGTAAGGAGGGAGGTGGAGAAAAGTGGGCCTGGTAGTTTAGAGGTGCAGTAACAGGAGCTACCACTAGAGGGACCTACAGACAAGTGCAGAATGGCCCAGGGGCCAGGTGAGGATGGTGCCTTCAGGGAGGACCCTCTTCCTCACTTCTGGCCTGATTTCCAGCACAAGCCCCGGCCACTGCCTGGGGACCAAAAAGGAGGGGGGTGAAAGAGAAGCACAGGGTGGAGTCTGGCTCCCTTGGCCACTCTGGGCCCCCCTCCCCATTCCCTATTAGATATACTCACTTCAAAGGAGACAGGCACACGAATGGTGTCCCCAGCTCTGACCATCAGCGAGTCCCTTGTGCTGGAGTCCATAAGGAACTTGGGACGGACTGGAACACACAAGATGGCTTGTCACCTCCCTCCACTCTTGGGACCCAGCCCCAGGTCTCCAACAAGGCAGAGCAGGAGGGGGATGCCTGGGCCAGACTAATAGATGCAGAGATCCATGGTGGGGGTTGGGGAGGGAGCTGGGAGGAGAATCCTGGGGGAGGGGCAGGGAGCTGCAGGAGCTGGTGGGGAGATGCTAGCCCGGAAGGAACAGGAGCTGAGAAAGGAAAGCCATCAGGTTAGCGGGTTAGGGTTAGGCCAGAACAGAGGACAGGGAAAAGTCATCCAACTCTTGTTTTGCAGACAAGGTAAACACTGATCTGAGGCAGGAAGTGACAGGCTTGAGACCACATCCAGCCGGGGGCAGAGCCAGGACAAGTTTCCGGGATTCTGGACTCCAGGTGCCGTGTGCTGTTCATTGTACTTGTCTCCCTAACTGTTACTGTGACAACTAGGGCTTGTTGGGATGGCCCAGGTCAGAAGCTTCCAGCGATTATAACCAAGGGAAAAGACAATCCACCTTTGGATAACAGGGAGCTGGGTGTCTTCTACTCTGCACATGAACTACGTGTGCCGAGCAGCACTTACACCTTCTTAGGTCATGCTCGGGAAGCAGCAAAGAATCCTGGAAAGAGCCTGGACTCTGGAGTTAGAGTCACCTGGTTTAATTCCTGGCTCTGCCACATACCAGTGGTGTGACCCAGGGCAAAGCACTTTTGACCGCAGGTTCTTTATCTGTAAATTGGGGGTAAAAACCTTAACCTTGTAGGATTTCTATGAGTTGTAATGAGAAAACATTTCCAAATGGGGCTGCCTAGTCCAGTGCCTGGCTCATAACGGGTGCTTGATAAGGGGCACTTTATTAAACTGGGGAAGGGGATCCTGGCTCAGCAAGTGCGTGGTTGCTGCTCAGAGGTCCCTCTCAGGAAGGGCCTGCGGGAAGGGGAAGGCGATGGGACTCACCGGCAACTGGCATGACTTGCACTAACGTGTCCAGGGCAGTGGGCTGGCCAAGGCCCCCATCGTTAACTGCTGTCACCCTCACGAAGTAGCTCTCTTGGGGCCGAAGCCCTCTGGCTGTGAAGCTGGTGACTGGCACGGTGCCCTCGTGGCAGGGACTCCACTGCAGACTGTCTGAGCCGCGCAGCTCCACCACATATCCCTGGGCTGTGTCCCCATCCTGTGCATCCGGCTGCGCCCAGCTCAAGGTGATGCTGGTCTGCGACGTGTCTATGACTTGGAGGTCCCGCACGGGCCCAGGGGGTCCTGGCCAGGCACCGTGGGAAGGTCAGGAATGGCATCACCCTCTCTTGAGGGAGGCCACTCCATGTGGATATTCATTAGTCTTCCTGTGGGAGGCTGGGAATTTCTTCACCCACCTGTCAACCCACTTTCCCAAACTACCCTGCTGTAATTCCTGAAATCTGGCGTCTTCGTTGGTGACTTCCTGGACTTCAAATGCCCGAAGACTAGAATTCTGTATCTTTTGATTCTGAGCTCTAAGTTAGTCAAGACTGCCTTTTGGGCACTCAGTCCATACTTACTCTTCTCCTGTTAAGTGGGAAGGAAAATAACACAGGCCCTACCCACCCACAAGGGTTTTGGAGCAAAGGTGTGATGTGTGTGAAGGGCTTTGTACATTGCAGAGCAGTCTCCCAAAGCTGGTTGCACAGTGGAATCTTGTACGGAGCCTTAAAGACACTGGTTCCTAGATCCCATCCCCAGAGATGTGGATTTCATTAGTCTGGGGTGCAGCCCAGGCAGCACGAGTCTTAAGAGCTGCCCAGGTGTTTCTAAATCGGGGCTAGGATAGTGTTTCTCAAACTTCAATTTGTTTATAAACCACCGGGGGATTTGGTTAAGACTTCAGATCCTAATACAGAAGGGCCTGGGTGAGGCCTGAGATTCTGCATTAACAAGCCCCCAGGTAATGCTGCCAGTCCGAGGATCATGCTCAGTAGCGAGGGCCTAGGAACGGTCATGACTGGGGTGGCTATCGTAGGACACCCTTTATGCTACTTGCTGTCTCCACTCTCTACCAGTGATGAGAGAGAGAGGTTGATAAACTAGGATGGGGTTGGTCCACTTGCAAGGAATAAAACGCATGTGTCACCTTTTCCCTCCCCGTTGCACACTCTGCCCTTTCTAGGACTAACCCTTAGGTGCCACTCGATCCATTAAACTTGTACAATGTTCTGTTTTTGCTAGATTCAGTCCAACAGCCCAGACCCGTACACTGCACCAGGCCCTGTAGGGATACAAAGGTGCTCTCAAGGTGACCACATGGCCAGTCTAGCAAGTGCCAGAAACGTGCTGCCCCCTTGGTGGCTTGTCACCAGCAGGCTCATAAGGGCTCGTGAGATAAGAGGCTCAGGAGGGGCATACAGAGCAGCATTTCCTAAGCCGTATGCCTTGGAATGAGGTTTTTGATGGCTGTTTTGTGGAAAAGGCATTCTCTACCCAAATTTGGGAAATTTGGCTCAAAGTAGGACAGGTCCCTTTCCTGTAGGACTTGGAAATCTCATAGGCTAGGTGTTAGAAACATCTTTGATCACAGATCTTTTTGGCTGTTTGTGTTGTTCTCAACATGTCCACTGACATCTCTCTGTGCCTGGATGTCTGAAATCACAGAGAGGAAAATGCTGTTCTACACCAGAAGCAGAGGCCAGGATTTATTTACCTAGTTCCTGGCACAATGTTAGCCATTGTGATGAAGATGCTCAGCAAAGATCTGCTGGATAGTCAATGGTGAGGTTCCACAGCGACCTCCCACCTGCCCCACGGCAATGACAAGCTCTCACTGGGGTGGGTGGATGGTTGTAAGATGGGAGCAGGTGGGCCAGCTCAAGGACTGACCTACCCAGAGGCTGAAGAGTGAGTAAAGTGACCCCACTGCCTGACCTCTAGGTCTGTTTGATCTCAATTCCCCGGGCCCCTAAAATATGCCTTACCCCAGAGGCCCTTCGACCTGGTCTCCCAGCCTTCCTGACCATGTCCTTCAGGGCTGGCCCTGAACTTCCTACAGCCCCTGTCCTGTCCCACGGGCCCCAGATCTATCCCCTACTCATCACCACCGCCACCCCCAACCTGGGTTGGTGCTCTACTTACTCATGGGGTCCCGAGCAAAGACGGCATCCGATGGGGGCCCAGGCTCTCCGGGACCAGAGGGAGACACAGCCGTGACCCGAAATTCATACTGACAGCCCTGCCGCACATCCGCCACGGTCCACCTCCTCTCTGTGAAAAGCCCACCCCCCGTTTGTCCCCCTGTGACAGGACCAGGCAATGGGCACACAGATGGCCTGGTGCCTCCAAGCTCTGGAAAAGACCAAGCGTAGGGACCTAAAACATTCCTCCTCTCCAGCCAGCCAGCTCGGGGTGACTCGGGTGTCTCTAAGGTAAAAACAGCACTGCTCAGGGTGTGAGAGGCCCCAGTTCCTGTCTGGTTCTGCCACTAACTTGCTGGGTGGTCTTGGACAAGTGCCTTAATCTCTCTGGTTCTCTCTGCCTTAAAGACTTCTAAAAGTTGCTATAAATTTATATAGATTTATAAATAAAACAGAATGACTAGATAGTGAAGTTGGAAGAATGCCCTTAGTTCACCACCCTCTTTCCAGAGATGAGGATCCTGAGGTCCTGAGTGGCACAGCCCTGGCTAGGAATCCGGTCTCCTGACAACCTGCTCGGGGCTTGGAACCTGATCTTTCTTCTGCAAATGTTGGATTGGAGTTTCTGAGTTCTTTCTGATTTTGGAAAGCAGTTTCCTGGAAATTGTAGGGAAGTTAGTAGGACAGGGGACACGTCTCCTCATCTCATGGATGAGAAAGGTAAGATCCAGAGAAAAGAATGCACTGCCTGAAGTCAAGGCCAGAAGGAGAGAGGTCAGGGCTAACTGCTCCATCTCTGGCTTCCATCCCGAGACTTCTGTTAAGCCAGGGTTTCCTAACCTTGGCCCTACTGGCATTTATGGCCAGATCATTCTTTGTTTGGGGACATGGGGATGGGACAGGGGCATGGCCCTGTGAATTCCAGGATGTTTAGCAGCGTTTTCACACTAGATGCTACTCCCCACCTTCCTGCACTTCAGTTATGACAACCCAAAATTGCCAGACAATTGCCAAATGTCCCCAGGGGGTGAAACTGCCCCACGTGAGACCCACTGTCCTAAAGGGATCTGGCAAGATGGTGCCACAGGACCCTGGAGCCAGGAGGCCCTCTAGGGAAACTTTGGAGGCCAGGATAATGTGAAGCATCCATTCAGGCGCACTCACCAGGCACAGGCTGGGCATTCACTGCTGTCCAGGTGTTGCTCCCCTTCTTGCGCTTCTCGATCAGGTAGCCCAGGATGTGGGCACTGCCAGGGCCCCGAGGTGCCGTCCACATCAGCGTGATGCCCTGGCTGGAGGCCGACTGGATGGCTGGGCTTGAAGGGGGCCCAGGGAGAGCTGGGGGGCAGAGAAGGTGCAGGTCAGCCAGAGGCCGAGGAAAGATGCCAGCTCACAGCAAGGTCCTAGGGGACGGGGAGTGGGGCATCTGGGAGTGGGTCACACTCTATTCTTTCCTAGGGAATGTCAGGGGGGCTGAGCCAGCCTGCCCTAGGACACTGTTCTGGCTCCGGCCTAGGAGCCTAGAGGCAGCCCTGAGGCCCCTCAGCCTTAAGTCCCCTGATAGATGCTCCAGAAGGAGGGCATCTGATGGAGGATGGTGCCTGCCCCACCCAGCTTCCTGAGAAAGTGGGCTCTGCTTGTCTACCCCTACTCCCAGAGAGCCACCGCTGAGAGAAGACCCCACAAACCTTGTTTCCTGATCGCCTGCCAAATCCCAAATGAAGCTGATGTAAGGAGTCCCCACAGTGCTCTACAAGGGCCCCAAGACACCCCCGCCCCCTGCCACGTCCCTCAGTGCCTGGGGCAGCCCCGCCCACCCCCTGGGCACGGTGGAGAGCCCAGAATGCTAGGGCCCAGTCCATCCTCTCACCCTCAGGAGCCACCAGCACCTCTGTGGACTCCAGGGCCTCCCCAGCCCCCTCAGAGGTCACAGCCCGCACTCGGAAGGTGTATTTCCTGCCCTGCTCCACGTGGGCATCGGTGAAGGCCGTGCTGTCTGCGGGGGGCTCGCCCACCTTCAGCCAAGTGCTCCGGCCAGCTTGCCGCCGCTCCACCACGTAGTGCTCCACGGGCCGGCCCCCGCTGTCCTTTGGGGGCCGCCAGTGGAGGCAAACCCCAGCCCCCTGGCGATCCTGTACCTCCAGGGGACCTTGTGGGGGCTGGGGCTTGTCTGGGGTCCCACCGAGAGGAGCAGGAAGAGAAGAGGGGGTCAAAGGAGCTGGAGGGGAGTGGTCCTAGGCCTCCCCCCTCATCAGCGGATAAGCCTGCCATGGGGTAGAATATCCAGAGAGCCTTGGACATTACCTGGAAGTGCCCCTGGTCTCCACCCCCCAACACACACATACACCCCACAGAGGTGACCCGGAATGCGCCACTGTGGCTGGTACAGGCAGTCCTAACTTGCTGGCACTGCTCAAGGCTGGGGGCCACCATCCCGTCCCAGAAATGCCCCCCCTCCCCCGGGCCCAGTGCCTTAGCTCCCAGAGAAGCACCACCAGCGGGAGCCCAGCCCTGTCTTTATCTAAACTGCTGCTTCCTAACCAGTCAGAGGAGGGGAGCAAGAACAAGGTGGAGTAGGTTTGGATCTTAAACAGCATGCAAATGAGGATCGGAGCAGGGCGGCACCCTCTGGGCCTGCTCCTGCGTGCAGGGAGTTCCCAGAACCCCGGGACCCTTGGGCCTTGGCTGGGGAGAAGCTGGGACTGGCACCTATAACTTGCAGGGTGAGCTCAGCCTGCACAGAGCCGCCCTCGCTCCTCAGTGTCACGCAGTCCCGGCCACCATCCTTCCTGCCAGCGCTAGGGAGGCACAGCCGAGCGAAGCCGTCCCCCAGGGCCACCTGTGCTCCCTGGGGGCTGCTGCCACCCACGACTTCGGCTCCGTCCTTTTTCCAGGCAGCCTGAAATGGGAGGTGGCTCTGGAAGGGGATCTTCACTGTCACCGGCTTCCCACCCTTGACCACCAGCGGCTCTCTCAGTTTCTCTGTGACATCAGGAGCGATGACGGGGCGATCTAGAGATATAACAGGGCCAGGGAGTCAAAGGCAGCCAGGGCACTGTGCACCGGGGCAGTGGGGAAAGAAGGACCCGGAGTGGGAAGTGTAGGCTGAGAGTAAAGACCACCCCCCAGGAGAACTACCAAGGGGATGAATGCGCTTCATCTGCAGCAGGAGGGACCAGGGCTAGACCTCCCCAAGGACTTCCTGACAAAGAACAGGGAGGATGTGGTTCTCAGACTGAGGATGAGATTAGGCACTGGCCGCAGACTAGCCACACGGTCAGGGGTTTAGAGGTGGAGCATAGCACCTGCTGCAGAGAGCCTGCCAAGCAGGGAAGGGCGGGCTGACCCTCACCGTGGACACTCAGGGTGGCCTCGCTCCGCTGGTTGCCGGCTACAAAGGTGTACCTCCCAGCCTGGGTCCCTTGCACATGGGCAATGAGGAGACTGTGCACGAGACCGTCTTGCTCAAAGACGACTCCATCCTGGGTGCTGAGCTGCAAACAAGGGCCACGGGGGAGCCCTGTCATCCCCACCCCTGCTCAGCTCTTCCAGGTGGTGGGGGGGCAGGGTGGGGGGAAGCAGGACCCCTTACTAATGCAATGCAGGGACTGTCATAAGAGCAGGGTCAATGGAATGCTTGTGACGCCCCAGGACGCCCCAGGCGTGTGCTAGTGCTCTCCATACTCAGTACCTCATTTAATGTTGCAACGACCTTATGAAGTCAGTACTGTTACTGGTCCCATTTTATAGGTGCAACCAGAGGTAAGGGGCAGAGCTGGGATCTGAAGCCGGGCTAGCTGACGCCAAGGCCCGTGCTCTGAACCCCTGTGACATCCATTCTCCTGGGAGAACAGCCGTGGTGGAGGACAGAAGGGCTGTTCAGAGAGAGGAGAGGTCCCGTCTGGTTGGGCTAAGGGGGCGTTTGTACCACGCCTTGAAGGACAGCAGAATTCAACAGGCGCTGGGACAGGACAGGCATTTTGGATGAGGAAGAGGCATTTGGGAGAGAAAGGGGTATGTCCGGGTGTGGGTGGGGGGAGCGAAGAGGATACACACCCACCTAAAAACCCAGTTTTATTTAAAAATACCAACATGCTGGTTATTTAGACTTCTCCCAGGGTAGGTGCTTTAGTAAAATGAAGAATGAAAAATCTTGGGGCGCCTGAGTGGCTCAGTTGGTTAAGCGACTGCCTTTGGCTCAGGTCATGATCCCAGGGTCCTGGGATCGAACATGACATCGGGCTCCCGGCTCAGTAGGGAGTCTGCTTCTCCCTCCACCCCTCCCCCCCAGCTTGTGCTCTCTCTCAAATAAATAAAATCTTAAAAAAAGAATGAAAAATCTTTCTTGCAAAGCCCCTACCTTCTACTCTTCATTGCTTCACTCCCCCCCATTCACACCCCTCCCCCCACCCATAAACTGGTCGGTAAAGCATGGGGGGCAGTACCTTGACTCCATCTTTAAACCAGGCACCCGGGCCCAGGTCGTGGGTGAGGGTACAGGAAAGCATGGCATCCTCTCCCTGCTGCACTTCCGTGTCAGCCAGGCCCTGGGAGAAGTGGCCCTGGGGGCCTGGAGAGACACAGAAGAGTCTGGGGGCTGGTCATCCAGGGATTTCCCCCAAGGTCCAGCCTCCCAGACCGTGGCCTACACTGAGCTCTGGGAGGCCACCATGTCCCGCCAACTGGGCTGAGGCCGTGCCAGCAAAACTAAACTGGTTTTGCTAGGCTGGTATAGGGGACCTGGGGTACAAGGTGGATGAAGGGCTCCCCTTGAGTGACAAAGACGGGAAGTCTGAGTAACCCACAGAGAGATTTCAACAGCTCCAGTTCTTTGGACATAGGGTGTTAAGACAGAGACCCAGAGACCTCTGAGCCCCATGTGGCCTGGAGCCCACCTCCACAAGGAGGAAGAGGTTGATTCCTAGATGGGAAGAGATCCCTGAAAATGGGGGGGCACTGGCAGGGACAAACTCCTGGGGCTAGAGGCAGAATTGAGACCGACCCAGTCATCCCCGTTCCCCTTGACTCTACCCCACCGGAGCCATTTCCCTGAGAAATACCTACCTTGGGCCTCCTTGGAGAAACCGCCAGTGCCAGGCTTGTATCTGGATCTGGGACTCTGGGTGGCATCCCTCCCCTGGCCGTAGATGTCTGACCTGCCCTCCAGGTCACCTCTCCAGCTGCCAAGGTGACTTGGGGGCTCCCAGCTCTGGTCTTCGTGCCGAGTCACCCCCGGGCTCTCTTTGTCCTCTCCTCCCAGTGGCTGCCCTGAGCCTCTGGCCTCATCTGCTCCCCTTCTCTTTGCTGTTCCAGGCTCCACCCCTGACTGTCTTTGAGACCTGCTCCTGAGCTGGCCAGGCCTTCTGTCTGACCCTCCAGACTCTTCTGCTCCCCATCCCTCATACTCCTTTAGGGCCCCTGGACCTTGGGCTTTGTCATTCTCAGCCCCCAGGGACCCCTGATACCCCAGGGACCCTCTTTCTCCTCTTTGTCCTTTGTCTAGCTGAAAGCCCAGGCCCTGGATGCCCCCAGATCTGTCCATAGAGTCTTTTCTGACCAATGGACCATCTAGACCATTCCAGGCTCCCTGAGGCCCTAAATCCCCAGGGTTTTGGGTGAGGCCATTCTCCCTATCAGTGGAATTCCCCTTATCCAAGATGCCTGAGTCCCCTGAGCTGGTAGACTTGCCCCTTTCAGGACCTGAACCTTTGCTATCCAGGAGCCATGGATCTTGACACCCACCAGACCCTCCTTGGCCTAGAGCACCCTTCCTGCCCCTGGAGCCCTCTGGCCCTTCATGGGTCCCCCTGAAAGTGGCATCTTTGTCTTGCAGAGATCTGGAAGCTCTGGAGCCTGGGGACTGATTCCCAGTACCTATGCTTCCTTGGCCAAACCCTTGGTCTTCCCTGCCTGGGATCCCAGTGTGGCTTACCCCTTGTCCATCAGCAGAACCTGACGTTGATTCGCCCCTTTCCCCAGGCATCCGGCTATTGTCCAGAACCTGGCCTGTGCCCACTGAGTGCCCGCATGTTGCTCCCATCCTTCTGCCTCCCAGCGGTGAGTCCCCACCTGCCTGAGGTGCCAGTCCTCCCAGGCCAGCTGCTCTACCCCTATCTGCTGTCCCTGGCCCTGCTTTCCAGAAGTCCTGCTCATTTCCAGATCCAAGAGCAGCTGCCCCTGCCCAGGTCTCGCTCTCCACTGCCCCCTGACCATCAAGAAACCCAGAAGCCCTCATACCCCCTGCTTGGTCTGCAGACCTGCCCTCCCTACTGGGAGCCTCTCTGTCCCCAGGGGATCCTGGGTTCCTAGCAGCATCTTGCCACTCTCTGACACCTGATTTTCCCATAGAGCCAAAGGCTCCCAGCACCTCAGGAACCCCTGAGGTTCCAGAGCCCCCGAGATCATTCTTGGAGCCTTGCCCGTCTGAAAGAATCCGTGGCTCACCTTGAATCCCCCGCATCTCTGGGCCCCAGGGGCCGTCCCTGCATGCTGTGCCATCTGCAGTGCCTGGCATTCCAGCCATCCTAAAACCCACTCCAGGACATGCTCCTTTCACAAACCCCATTCCTCTGCCCCTCTCTGAACCATCCTTGGAGCTTGTGCTACCATCAGACCTCTCTGATGCCGTCCAGTATCTTGACCCATGCTCTATGGCTTCTTGGCTGCTGGGTCCACCTTCATATCCCACTCCAGCCTGTGTGTCTGTTACTCTGAATTTCCCTGAACCATCTCTGTAGCCCACCTCACCTTCTGACCCCATTTCTGCAGATCCTCCTGAGCCTCCCCTATAATCTGACTCACTTCCTGACCTCAGTCCCCTAGCACCCCCCAAACCATCCCTATAGCCTGCCTCTCCCCCTGATCCAATTCTCCCAGAACCTCCCAAACCATCCTTATAAACTGTGTCACCCTTTGACCCAATTCTCTCAGACTCCCCCAAGCCATCCCCATAACATGCCTCACTCCCCACCCACATTCTCCCAGAACCCCCAAAGCCATCCCCATAACCTGCTTCACCCCCTGCCCCCATTCTCTCAGACTCCCCCAAGCCATCCCCATAACCTGCCTCACCCCCCACCCCCATTCTCCCAGAACCCCCAAAGCCAACCCCATAACCTGCTTCACCCCCTGATCCAATTCTCCCAGAACCCCCCAAACCATCCTCATAACCTCTCTCACCCACCATCCCCATTCTCCCAGAACCCTCCAAGCCATCCCCATAACGTGCTTCACCTCCTGCTCCCATTCTCTCGGAACCCCCCAAACCATCCTTATAACCTGCTTCACCACCTGACCCAATTCTCCCAGAACCCCCCAAGCCATCCCCATAACCTGCCTCACCCCCCATCCCCATTCTCCCAGAACCCCCTAAGCCATCCTTATGACCTGCCACACCCCCCACCCCCATTCTCCCAGATTCCCCCAAGCCATCCCCATAACCAGTTTCACCCCCCATCCCCATTCTCCCAGAACCCCCTAAACCATCCCCATAACCTGAGTCACCCTTTGATCCAATTCTCCCAGAGCCCCCCAAGCCATCCCCATAACCTGCTTCACCATCTGCTACCATTCTCTCGGAACCCCCCAAACCATCCTTATAACCTGTGTCACCCCTTGACCCAATTCTCCCAGGACCTCCTAAGCCATCCCTATAACCTGCCCCACCCCCTGACCCCACTTTCCCAGAACCTCCTAAGCCATCCCCATAACCTGCCTCACCTCCCACCCCCATTTTCCCAGAACCCCCCAAAGCATCCTTACAAACTGCCTCACCCTTTGACCCAATTCTCCCAGAATCCCCAAAGCCATCCCCATAATCTGCTTCACCCCTTGACCCAATTCTCCCAGCATCCCCCAAACCACCCTTATAACCTGCCTCACCCCTTGACCCAATTCTCCCAGAATCCCCCAAGCCATCCCCATAACCTTTCTCACACTTTGACCCAATTCTCCCAGAATCCCCCAAGCCATCCCCATAACCTGCCTCACCCCCCATTCCCATTCTCCCAGAACCCCCCAAACCATCCTTATAACTTGCCTCACCCCTTGATCCAATTCTCCCAGAATATACCAAGCCATCCCCATAACCTGCCTCACTCCCTATCCCCATTCTCCCAGAACCCCCCAAACCATCTTTATAACCTACTTCACCACCTGACCCAATTCTCCCAGGACCTCCTAAGCCATCCCTATAACCTGGTCCACCCCCTGACTCCATTTTCCTGGAACCTCCCAAGCCATCCCCATAACCTGCCTCACTCCCCATTCTCCCAGAACTTCCCAAGCCATCCCCATAACCTGCCTCACCCCCCATCCCCATTCTCCCAGAACCCCCCAAACCATCCTTATAACCTGCCTCACTCCCTGACCCAATTCTCCCAGGACCTCCTAAGCCATCCCTATAAACTGCCCCACGCCCTGACCCCATTTTCCCAGAACCTCCCAAGCCATCCCCATAACCTGCCTCACCCTCTGATTCCATTCTCCCAGAATGCCCCAGGCCATCCCCATAACCTGCCTCACCCCTTGACCCAATTCTACCAGAATCCCCCAAGTCATTCCCATAACCTCTCTCACCCCCCATCCCCATTCTTCCAGAACCCCCCAAACCATCCTTATAATCTGCCTCACCCCTTGACCCAATTCTCCCAGAACCCCCCAAACCATCCTTATAACCTACCTCACCCCCTGACCCCATTTTCCCAGAACCTCCCAAGTCATCCCCATAACCTGCCTCACCCCCCACCCCTATCCTCCCAGAACACCCCAAACCATCTTTATAACCTACTTCACCACCTGACCTAATTCTCCCAGAACCTCCTAAGCCATCCCTATAACCCACCCCATGCCCTGACCCCATTCTCCCAGAACCCCCCAAACCATCTCTATAACCTGCTTCACCCCCTGACCCAGTTCTCCCAGAACCCCCTATATCATCCCTATGATCTGCCTTACCCAATGAACCCATTCCCTCAGGAGTTCCCAAATCTTTCCTATAGTCTGCCTCATCTACTGACCCCATTTCCCCAGAAACCTCAATACTATCCTTATAACCTGCCTCACCCCCTGGCCCCATCCCCCCAGACCCAAGACCCTTCGACCTTCCTTTATAAGCTGTTTTCCTTCCAATTTGCTGAGACCCTTGAATTCCTGATCCACCCCCAAGAACAGGCATGCCACAAGACCCATAAGTCTCTTGGCTTTCAGAACTGGCCCCAGCATGAGGAGCCAGTGCCTCGGGTAACCTGGTATCGTCCCAATGACCAGCTCTAGCTCCAGAGGCTCTAGCTCCAGAGGCCCTAGCACCAAGGTCCCTGGTCCCAACCCCATCATTCACTTTGCCTCCTGCCTTCAGATACCTTGGCTCCATGGCTCCTGCTTCCCCAGAGCCATCTTCATGGCCTCCTTCTCCAAAGGCCCCCAGAGCTCCTGAGGCTCTGAAGTCCCCATAGTCTCCAGTCTGGCCCCAAGGACTTATTCTTTCAGAGACCCCTGGTTCTGATTCTACATGTCCCTCCTCATCAGCCTCCATGGTTGCAGAGGCCCCAAGGCCACCTCTACCCACAGACTCCACTGTCCCAGGACTCCCTAGGCCACCACTGGAATGATGCCTTCCCCCAGGGCCAGTATCCCCCTGGCTTTTGGATGCATCCCTGGCCTCTGGAGGCATCCTGGCTTCATCCATGGGCCCTCTATCAGGGCCACCTGAGCCACTCTTGAGATCAGCAAGTCTCTCAGACCCCCTTATTGCAGGACCGTAACTATCGTTGTTTCCAGACCACATTCCCCCAGGCACCCCTGAGCCATGCCTATAACCAACCCCTTCCTCAGACTCTGTTCCCCCAGGTGCCCCAGAGACAACTTCACAACCAGCGCCATAACCAGAGCCCATTTCTCCTGACACTGCCGAGCTATCACTATAGCCAGACCCGTTTTCAGGACCTATTCCTCTAGCATACCCTACGCCATTGCCGTACCTAGACTCCATTCTCCCTGGACCTCCTAAGCCATCCTCGTAGCCTGTCTCACTTCTGAGCCCTTTTCCTCTGGAGTTCCATGACCCATTCCAGAAATCTGGTTCAGAACCCATTGCCCCTGGACCTCTTAATCCATCAGTGTCTCCTAGTGTCTCCCCAGAACCCTGAGCACCCAGGCTTAGAGACCCAAATAGCCTGTGGCTTCTGGTATCCACCCCCTGACCAGACCCCATTAGTCCAGCCCCCTGGGTACCACCCACACCACCTTCCCCTTCACCAGACCCCAACATTCCAGGCCTGTGGTAGGCCCTGGCTTTGCTGAGGCTGGACCCTGTGTCATCCCAAGGACCTGTGCTCCCAGACTCTATTCTGCCAGCAACCTCTGCTCCCCACTGACCTGCTGGCCAGCCTTGGGAATACTGGAAGCTTCTGGAGCCATCCCCTGCCTCACCCAAGTCTTCTGCTGTCTCCTGGCCCTCCCTTCCTCTGGGCCCCTGTAGGCTCCTCTCCCAGCCTCTGGGACCTCCTGGGCCTGCAGGGCTGGTTTTGTAGTGCCTTCCCCCACCCACAGACTTCCCTGGGTCTCGATCAGCTGTCTGTAGTGACCCTTCAGCTTTGGCTTCAGGCCCCCCTTGTCCCAGAAGGAACTCTCTACTACCAGGTATTGATGGTTCCTGGGAGTTCTTTCCTATAGGTATCTGCCCTTGAGACTCCTCTGGCCCCCAGCAGCCCCCTGCTTCCTCATTATCAGCATCTCTGCCACCCTGAGAGCTAGAAGCTCTTTCTCCAGGATATTCCTGGGCCCCAAGACTACCTGTCCCACTGCTGTCTCCAGCTTCCCCCACACCAGTCCCCCTGCTCCACACTGCCCCTGTCGCTCCTCTCTGTCTTTTCCTGCTCAGATCACCCCCTCCTTCCACCTCACCCAGGCTTTCCCCCTGCAAAATCTTCTCCATCACTCCCCCTTCTGACCAAGAGCCCCCAGGACTAGACTGGGATCCCCTCAGGGCTGTTTGTCCTCTCCCAGGTCCCAAATGAGCACTGAAGAGTTGTTTCTGGCTATGCCTGTCCAGGGGACTCCCATGGTCCTCTCTGTACTCCTCTCCTTCCCCGCTGCTCCCCAGTCCTCCCACTTGAGGGTACCTGGACTCAGCCTCCCAACCTCCTGCTGTCCTACCGCATCTGTCCCCATCACTGTCTCTGCCATGATCTTGCTGTTGACCTTCCATGAGACCTAAACCTGACTCTAGGCCCTCTCCCTGTACATAGGGGCTCCCTGGAAGGCTTATGCCCCAGCCTCCCTCTCTGTGGAGCTGATTTTCCCCAAAGGGAGTGACTGTGCTTCCCTCTGCTTCCAGAAAGCCCTTTCCTGCCTGCCCAGGGCCCCCGGCTGAGCCAGCTGCCCCATCACTCCCTATTAGGGAGTAGCCATGCCCATCAAGGCCACCTGTCTCTAGGCCAGCTGTGAACTGTAGCCCAGAAGCAAGCCTGGCCCCATTAAGGGAGCCCTCCAGCAGGCCCTGCTCTCTGGGTTCCCCTCCCTTGCTGCTGATGCTCCTGGAATCTTCTGCTTCTGAGGTCTGGGCTCCTTGGGCTTGCAGCTGATGGTCAGCACTTGCAGTCAGAAAGTTTCTATCCTTCCCTGCTTTGATAAAGAGGTCAATGCCCCCATAGAGAGACAAAAGAAAAGACCTGTTAAATCACGTCAAGTCACCCGTCTGACCCTAACTGCTTTGCCTGACCCTCAGTTTCCCTAATAGAGAAAAAGCTGACCATCTCAGAAGGAAGCCAGGGTGTGCCAGCTCATTGATAGATGAATCCTATCACCACCTCCCCCAGCCCTGTACCCACAGACA